TAGCAACAAAAGTATAATTTAATATTGTTGTCAGTCTATGTACTGAAAGTATAAAATGAAATGTATAGACAAACAAAACTGGAAAAATATTTGTTGATTTCTTTATTTAGAGTCTCCGTTGATTAAAGAGGTTTGTTTTGTTTTTTTATTAAAAACGTTGATGATATAATAGAAAATAGCTTAATTCAGAAACAATTTAAGTTTGAAATTGAATCGATATTTTTACTTTCGTGATAAATTTTATACACTTGGCTCTAGGCTAGATGATCCCATATTGCGTCTTTAGGCTTATTGTATCATCTCTCACTATACTTATAAGGTACCCCCCCCCCCCCCACGTGGCACAGTGGTATGTCTACGGACTTACAACGCTAGAATCGAAGTTTCGATACCCGTGGTAGGCAGAGGTAGCTTTGTGCTTAACTTCAAACAAACTTATAAGGTTTCACGGCACACATCCTCACGGCCTTCTTACACCCCCGTCACTAAAATCTTAATTGGCAGACAGTAATCGAACTATTCTATCTAGATAAATACAATTCGGCTTTTATGACTCCTATTTCGAGAAGTCGAGCGTGACGTGACTCACGTTGGCTTTTATATAGGCTAGATTATAATTGTGATATTTTATCGTAAAGTGTTAGTTATTACTTAAAATGCTACCGAATTTTATTCTAGATAAACAAATTGTTAATATGATTAGATCCTAGAGAAGATTTATAGCGGGAATTTTTAACGAAACAGAAATTAAAAAATTAATTAGTTACAGCTCATTTTGCATACCTTGAATAATATATACGTATAATCTAGCGAACAGCGTGCATGTATTTTGAAAATTGTGAGTTATCATGTTTTATAAATTAAGGCACTACCAATTTATGTTTGGGCTGTGATGTAAATTTATTAAAAATCGATTTCTACGTGAAATTATATATTTTATATTAGTTTAATAATGGCTGGAGACGGCTTAAATGGGTAATGAAGAAAAACTTTAATATAAGTTTAACATGACAGTATATTAATGTTTTTCTTCATTACCCATTTAAGCCGTCTCCAGCCATTATTAGTCTCAAAGTGGGTTCCTCGTCATCGAATTTATATTAGTTTGTTCAGCAACTTTCGATCAATCTTTAGATTCAAAATGGATGATAAAATTATTACGTAAAAATTCATCTGTTGAAACTACGGAGTTCTATTAGGCCAAATGCTTGCAAAATAGAAAGCAAAGAAAAAAACGGTAAAAAAGTTCATTGATTACTTATATAATTAGACCTATGCAGTGTATTGATGATTTCCCTACAACTATGTTATTATTGCGATAAACTTGAGGGCATGGTGGCGCTATTTGTAATTATTGGAAAAGCGAAGGACAAAAACGTTAGTTAGATATTAATTTGTTTTTTAAGTTGGTCGTTATGTAAAGTTGTGAGGTGGTTTACTAAGATAGTATATCTTTTAAGTTTTATTCTGAAGTAAATCTGAACACTAACAGCACAGCAGCAAAAGTGAACCGATATGTTAATTGTACATCTACGTAAACCACAAAAATGAATGACGGCTACTGATTATATATGTACTGTAGTCTGTACTACCACTACCAGGTATCTTATTCGTTGTTTCTAAATTTTTGTCAAATTTAAAAAACGGACCCACTTAGTGAAACTAGTAATGAAAATAAATCTTCAAAGACTTAGTTTAGGCTTAACACAAACTTATTGGACTCGGCCTAGGCCTATCCCAAATCATATAAATAGCATCAATACCATAACTATTATTATAAATATAATAGTATTACTGTAGTTTTACTAGTTTTAATTTTAATAATCAGCGAACACTGTACTAGTACTAGAGCTTAGTTAAGCATACTGAAATAGGATAAATTTATTTTTGGTTTATTCAAGTAATTACACACGATACATGTGGATCCAATTGAACACGAAGCCTTGCAAGTTACAGTTTACAGTTGGTCAGTTTAAGTTTTAACTCCGAAATCCATATTTTTGAAAAATAAAAAAACTTTTACTAGTTTTAGTTTTACTGGTTAATGTTATAATGCTAATAGTATTAGAATACTAATATTAGTAATAATACTTATCTGCAGGTGAGGTACAAATACAACCTACAAAGTATTGATTTTTGAGTTTTGTTGTGTTACTTTTGCTCTTCAATTACAATTAACGTGTTATTCTGTTTCTTAAGCTCCAAGTTCAGATATAGTAGTAGGCCTCAGATCTACTTCTAATAGTAATAATACGTATTAACTTTTTATAATTCAATAGAGCTAATTAGTAATCTAAAGCCTGAATATTTGCCTGTGAGTGTGTTGCTAATATTAATAATATTAGGAGTATTAGCATTGTAGCCTGTTGGCCTATTTTGTAATTTTCAACTATTACTAGTAGTAGTAGTGATAGAAATTATAAGTAAAAACTTAAATAACAAATGTTAATTTATTGGTTCTTAACATAAGGAATGTACATGTTTAGTCTAAAACTTATATTTGATAGCATATTATTTAGAACTGCCTTTTCCCTTTAACTTAAAGTTTAAGACTATGAGTATGACCAAGAATTGATACTCTGATAGTACAAGAGAGTCGGAATATAATAAACAGTGGTGGATCTTTCACCTCATTATCTGTTGCATAACAATTTCAACCAAAATAAAATTAATGGTAATTTCTAAAAGGGTAATATTACAGCAAGTGTTATTTGTAATAGTGCCCTGAATGATATTTGTACTTCCTGGTATTCCTGTGGCTGTAGGGGGACTAGTTTTAAAGTGTGTAAAACATAAATAATTATTCATTTTATTGACAGGTCAAGTTTAGTATTTGTTCAAAGTTTTTACAATTTCATTATTTATATATTTGCACTTAAACACGTTTAAGTAAAGTTAAATCACACATAAAGAGCCTTTATTAGTCAAACAAAACACTGAATTTATAGCATGTTAGCCATAGGCCTACATCAAATACTTACCAATTGCCACTTGTTTTCTCTTGAGAAATGAAGGTTAAGAGGCGATATTATCAATGTTTAAAAGATTATCTGGAGGACACAGAAGCAGAGACCCTATTAAAAAAAATTGGTATGGCCAGAAAACACATTTGTAAGACCAAGTTAAAAATTAATTAATGGTAATATTTCTAAATAACTTCTGATAATAGACTAAAATCATGTCAACAACAGGTGTCAAACTAATAGGATTATAGTTTGAACCTGTGGTAGATTGATCTTTTAAAAATTTTATAGAGGACTTGAAAAATCCTTAATAGACAGAAATATCAGAGTGTTGAAGGAGCAGTATTCTAGTGACACAAATGGATGAAGCTTTAATATTTTGAGTATTTTGTATTATTGAAACAATGAAATTAAATAATCAAAGTTAACTGCTAAATATTTATTAAAATTCATCTCTTGAAGTGCAATTCCAATAACTATAAAAAATCAATCAATTATAACTGGTTACCATAACATATAACTTGGTTTTTAATTTTGCTCTAATGTTCATAGCTTGCTCTGGTTGAAAGTTAATATTAATAACATTTAAGGGACAAAAATGATATGTAAGTTTTTAATGCAGTTTTAATTAACTTTAGCATGTGTTGTTAAACAAATTCATTGTTGTTTTATGCAGTTGGATTGTTCCATTAGTGTATGCTATTCAAGATGCATTTTAATATTGATGTTCTCTGCTTTTAAATGTTCATATGAATTGTGTCATTTTTTTATCAAGCTTGATGAGGATCATAAGCTAGCTCAAATAAAAGAAATTAAAATTCAAGATGTAATTGTGATGTTAACGTTTTTTCTGTTAAAATAAAAAAGTACCATTTAACATGTTTATCACATGTTAAAAAGTGCAACTTTTCGTGATTCAAAATGAAAAGGGTTGAAAGCAAAACTATGAGTAAACTTAATATTTTCCTTTGGAGGCGTATGGTTGCTCTTGCAGGATTTATTATGTAATCAGATACTTCAGTCAACACTCCCTCAGTTAAACATTGATGTTTGAAAACTACAGTGATAAAATACTGTTGTATTACATTGTAAAAAAAATTAGTTATGAATAGAAGCCGTAAAGTATGAGTTTTATTTTTATAAGAGCAGAAAACAGTTGATCACTAGATTCAGACATTTATAATTATTAAGATGTTTGAAAAACATTTCTATAGGTGAATATACAGACACACACACACACACACGAGTATTAAAAAATTTTGAATTTTGAAAACATAATGAAACAAGAATTGAAATCACAATCATAAATTCATAAAATGTAATTCTATGGCCTACAGATAAGTGTATCAAGCTGCCAAGGTAGGGATTAAATTTTATAAATTTGTCATTACGGTTTTAATTCTTGTTCTATTACTTTTTATAGCAGGATCCCTACTTCGTTTTTAAATTCATAATTTTGAATACTCTTGTTTCTTTACTATTTACGTTATACCTGTATAAAGTATATACTTTACCTTTAGAAACTGTCATGTGTCTATCCATCGATACGTAGTGCCAGCTGTTGGGTTGAAAAAATATTTAAGTATGTGCATGATATGTTTACCATTTATATTATACTTGTCTATATATGGATTTTTATCGGAATATCAAAACAAATACCCACACACCAGTCAAGTAAGCTGGAGAAATCTTTTAGTGACAGTCTGCTGATCAGGTAGGTAGGTAGTACATGAAAAAAATTGCTGTTTAGAAATTTCTTAATTGTTATATGAGAAATATTAGCAACAAATTTAGTGTATTACTATTATATATGCACATAATATATTGTAACCAATACTTGAATGGTCAGTTTTTTGCTTAGGAATTCGATAGGGTGGTTTTTCAGCATATGAATTATTTGGAATCCTTTTCAACCCCCCTACTATTAAGTACTATCATACTTAAAATATGTATATATGTGTTTGTTTTGTGAGGTTGAATGAGAAATTTAGAAATATATATGCTTGAATATAGGTGTAGTGGCATAGCAATATTGAATAAAACCACTAATAATTTCTTTGCTTTATTTATCTTTATTTATGGTTTGGTAGCAACATTTATTGCTTATCATCTCACCTGTTAACTTGAACTTTGTTTTTATATTGTATGTGTGTGTTACCAGGAAAGCATTCAGCATTAGAGGTGGGCAATTAACTTGATTAGTTAATGTAACTTATTACCTATGAGCCTTGATTAGTGTCAGGTAAAATAATTAATTGAAGTTACAACTGATGAATTAATTAAAATAATAAACTAGTATTTACAATTATTCCAACTATCCAGTAAACAAAATTATGATTAAACCAATTAAGTTCAAGAAAATAATGAACTAACTGAAATTAGTGTTTGTGATTATTACTGTTTTTAATGATTCCAAATATCTATTAACCAAAATATTGTCATTACAATTTTTCATTGCTATTATCAATTGATTCAACTTTGTTCACCTTAATTGATTAGTATCATGACTCACAAGAGGAAACTAAATGAAATTAGGGTTTCTGAATTGTCATAACCAGAAGTGCTAAAATAATTTAAAAAAAAGATGATAAACCTCTATCACTGTTAAATAACTAATAGATATTTTTTTAAATATTTTGTACATATTGATCTCTGTGATATAATTTTTCAAGCAAATTTTCTGTTTATAGACTAATGAATATGGACAGTAAAGAAAGTGTTGAAGAGCATGGTTTTGAGCCTAACATTGGCAGTGAAAGCATTTTAAATGTAACTTCAGAGAGTCAAGAAGAACAAAAAGACAGTACCAAAGATAACAATCAATCTTCTGAGGAAAGAATCTCTCCTGAACCAAGCTGTGCCATATGTTTGGGGAAACCTGAGAACAAATCTTTCACAGACAGTTGCTTCCATACGTTTTGCTTTGCTTGTTTAGTAGAGTGGTCAAAAATCAAAGCTGAATGTCCACTTTGTAAGCAATCATTTCGTAGTATTATTCACAATGTTCGTTCTCTGGAAGATTACGATCAATACCTGATCAATGTGCAGAATGTGCCAAGTAATCTCCCTTCTGATAATTCCAGTAGACGGTTTCGTTACTCATCTACCCTAACAGTAGAAAGAAGACAGCAGATACATTTTGAAAGAAGCCTTGAATTTCACAATTATCGATCTACCTATGCTCCTCATGTAACACCTCAGTCAGTGAGGAGAAACAGGGGACATCATATTTCTACAAGTAATTTCAGACGTCATGTTTATGAAAGTGGACTGTGGGTGCAGCCTCTTGTTGATGGACAAACAGGACGTTTCCGAGACACTTCACCTGAATTCTATAGGCAGAATCCTGCATGTACGCACCGACTTATACCATGGCTGAATAGAGAATTGTTGGCTTTGCTAGGTGACGGTGGTGAAAGTCAATTGGCTTTCCTTCTGGAATTAATTCTAGCATTAATTATGCGCTATGACATCAGAAGTCCAGAATTTTTTGAACATGTGCATCCTTTTTTCAGAGATCATACAAATCATTTTGTACATGAATTTTTTAACTTTGCTCGATCTCCTTATGACCTTGTCACCTTTGATCGTAGAGCTGTTTATGATATAACTGAACCAAGAAAGGAAAAGGATAGTGAAAGTGACAGCTCTGAATCTGACATTGATGTTGTCAGCATTAATCCACAGGAGAGCAAACCTTTCTTTCCAACATCAATTAGAAATGGGACCTCTGAATCATTTTCAAATCAAAATTTTCATAGTGATCCATTAGCAGTTGGAAATGTCCCAGGTGTGTCATCACTTGGTAGTTTTTATATGCAAGCTACTGCTAATTCCAGCCAAACTCTCAACCACATGGAAGCAAATAAGGTCCAAGTTATAGAGGATTCTGACAGTAGTTCTGACTGTGTTGTTGTTGCTTATATTAAGCCAAAAGTAGAAAGGACTCCTGAACTTGTTGATATAGCTTCAACTTCGGGTGATGAACAAGACCTTAAAAGTAAGTTTTTGAAAGATATTAGTCTAGAAAATAGCAGAAGCACTGGTCAAAATTCACCTAAAGAGAAACCTAAAAGTTACAAAAGTAGTAGAAGTAGGAGATCTAGGTCATACAGAAAGTCTCGCAGAAGAAATGGTCGACATTCATCTTCTTCTTCTAGGAAAAGTTCATTGTATCGAAGTAGCAGTTCTGAAATTTCCTCACGTAGATGGAACTCGTCAAGGCATAACACATGTGGATCATCAACTCAATCTCCCACGCCTAGTTTAGGTAGGCATTTTCGTGGAAGATCAAGAAGTGAGCACTCTCTTTCTCCAAAGAAAGTAACTGCTGGTGATTCGGAAAATTCTGGTACCTATTCACTTTCTTTTCGTAAAAAAGGAGAACAGAGATTGAAAAGTCTCGTGATTAGTGTAAGAAAGAACGACTCCTATTCAGGAGAGCATAAAGGGAAACATTACAGATCTAAGCATAAACGAAAGCACAAGAAATCAAAAAAACATAAATTTCGTGACCATCATTACCACCAGTATTCTTCAAGTTCATACAGCGATTAAAATTTGGTCTTAAAATATTCCTCACCTTGCTAGGTTCATAGGATTAAAACTAACTGGTAGTTGGCATTATTAAAGTTTTCACTGAAATTGAAAAGTGTACATGCATGTCAAGGTAAGTTCACTGCTGTGGTTCATGTACTTCAAAATAACATAAAAAACTGATGTTACTGTGAAAGGCTGTATTACATCTCTTTGAATGCAGTCTGAAAAAACCATCTACAAATGGTTTTACCATTAATATAAATTGCATTGATAGCTATCATTAAACAATTGGATTTCATTCAATGTTGATATCAAACCAAAGTAATCTATTGTGGTATAGAAAAAGAGGAAGAAATTCAAAGAATTATGGTTTGATTGATTAAAAACAAATGTTTAAGTATTTCATTAGCATTGAATCTGTATATATATATATATATATATATCTGAGCATTTGTGTAACATTTATGTGAAAACAGTCCTGTATATTGTCTGTGATTGTGTTGTGTGTTGATGATGATGTATGTATTGTATTTTAAATTAATCAACATGTTGTAGGTTATTCATTTTTTTATGTACTTTTTATTTTATGAATATATATATAGCTGAAATAAACCAATTGATGTATGTGGAATATGTAATATGGATTAAATTTATTCATCACGATTAAATGTTAATATAATTATTGTTATTTTTAAGTAGCACATAATGTATATAGACATGTATTCCTACTAAGTGTATTTTTACTAGTTATAACACTGCTCTTGATAACTTGTATTAACCCTAGTATGTTTGTCACAAATGTTAAAGGATATAGAATGCCTTTTTTATTACTAATTTCTATTACATATGTCTTACTAAGTTACAAAATGCAATATAGTTTGGGTTGTTTGACAATGTAATTATTAAATGTGGTTGATTTTCTCAGGATATAACTTGTACACCCCGGCTGTATGTGGAAGAGGTATAGGTAGACTTAACTAGAAAAGCTTTGTTTTGTGTATTGTAATTGGAAATAGCTTTTAGGGATCAAAAATTATATTTTTTAACAGGTTTAGTGGTTATAACTTAAATATGTACATCATATATTTTGATGCAATGTTGAATTAAACTTTATTGCATTTACATTCCAAAATATTTTTAACCAACTTTTCTTAACACTACATGGTGTAACACCACGTGACTGCCCTTGAAGACCTTAAAGCTTGTCTTTTGTTTTCCTGTTAAAGTTAAGTATGTGACTGTTTGTGACAAATATTTTTCTTCTACAGTTTAGGAACCTCTGTTGAAGTTCTTTGTATTATTTCTTCTAATGGTTATTAATGTTTTAGTAATTTTACAAAAATTGGGCTTTTTTTTTTAACCTCTGTTAAAAAGGTAGGTCCATATAATTGGTGGTACTATCATTACAGCTCTTTTATTAGTATACTGACCATTATGACATACATTATAACTTACATTTATAACTTAAATTTCTATTTGAAATAATCTATGATATATAGTACAGTATCCACAAAATGATCAGTACCAGTAACTTTTTCATTCAGGATGACATAATCTAGTGATTAGCATACCTGACTATGGATCCAAGGATCAGTAGTTTGGATCCCATTACTGGGAAATTACATTCTGCAGTTTGGAGGTACTTGTAGATTGAGGGTCAAATCCCACTATGCTATTAGAGTAGCCCAAAAGTTGGCAGTGGATGCTGTTGACTAGCTGTCTTCCCTTTGGCTTATCATTTATATTAGGGTCAGATAGTTCTTGTATAACTTTGCATAGATATCCAAAACTAATAATCAGTCACTTGTTTACCAATCAATAAACTTTAATTTGTGTTACATACACTTAAGGTATTGTGTGTGTGTAGAAGTGTACATGTACATAGATGTTATCAGTCACTAAAATAGATATGTGGTGTGGGTGGAACCTCAATTTAACTCTCTCCCTTTTATTATATATATATATATAACTGTCATGTTTATAGATAAACAACTCTCCCAGTGCCAGGATTGTTTTTAGATGCACAATAAAAACACACCAAGATACACGTTTTAATATGTCATTATTTATTTTAAACTTTAAATTTGTAAACTTTGGATAGTTTTAAAAGAAATACCTTTTCTTCATGGTGGTACAAATTTCCAATAATATTGCAGTTTTCAAAGGTAAAATAAAGGTTATTTAGTGTGTCCCATGTATGTGCCTTGGCAGTGAAAAAGTTAGAGCAAGAAAAAAGAACACTTAATAAAAAAACGTAACTTAAGTACGATGTTTCTTTTTAACTTTCAAAATTATTACCATATTACACATTCTAAATAATTTCAGAAAGTTCATTTTCAGTGAAATGGCTCTCAAGGTTCAAGGCAATGCATCATCAGAGTTCTAAATGAAGAAAATAATAGTATTTGTCCTATACATGTACAAAACATAATAACATTAGTTACGTATAGCAAGAGGTATGTGTATAAGTTATTAAAACATGTAATCACACAACTACAGATGGTATCAGTAAAATAAAAAGTCCATAGAAAATTGTATTAAGCAACACATGTTTAGGGGTCATCATACTGAGTGTTCATAAGTGGTCAGTGAGTCTTTTATGAGCCTCTTATACATGACACTCCTGTGTGTGTGTGTGTTGTGTTTTTTCTCACGTGTTTTCTTTAAGCCAGGATTAACTATTATGTTACCCATCGTACTTCCGAAGATTTGTCATTGTTGTAAAAGATGTAAGATTTTGTGTAGTTGTAGTTAACTAAATATTTCATTCACACAGTTTTATGATTTTGGCACTGATTGTTTCTTCATCAAGTACCTGCTACTATTTTTTTTTTTTTATACTCCTTTAGTAAGATTTTATTTGGAAGAATGTAAATATAATTGTAAAGGTATGGATATTAAAAGATTTTTCCAATGTGTTCATAAATTAAGGGTCTGTTTTTATTTTTCGGTAAAAATTTTAATGAGACTTATTTACTAGAATTTTAAATCATTTCTGAAGCATATATTCTCAAAACTAAAAAAAAAAAAATCATATTCCAGTAGCACTGATGTTTCATCTGGAAACCAGTAGACACCATGTTCATTTTTTGGAATCCAAACATGTTGGAAATATGATTTAAGTGTGAGAATTTTTTGTCAGGACAAGTTTATCAACTGGGAAGGAATTCAATAATTTTTTTTTTTTAAGTGAAATAAAATCATATCTTGAATAATAAAAGAATTAGTATATGCTTAGATTCAATGTCTTGGAAGTTTATATTGTTTTAACCACCAAATTAATGAATAATATTTACAAGATAAACTGAATATATACCAATTTGATTTATATATACCATTATTTTCAATTTGATATAATGGTTATGAATTATGTAGTTTATTTTCAGGAAACTATTTTACTTTAGAAATGTAAGTGATAAAATAGGGAGGATTTTTTTCATTCTTTTTAGTTGCTGGATTCTTCAAGAATATATTTTTGTGTCTATTTCTTAGAATTGTTTTCTCTGTAGTTCTGTAACTTTAAAAATGTAAACATGTAAGTCAGTATTATGATATACTTGCACATATTTTTATTTATGCAACTTTAAAAAATATATATTATTAGATGTTTAAAATCCAAATAATTATTACTGTGTTTTCTTTATAGTCAGGAGGCTAAGTTTTTTTACAGTAAATTTACAGGGTGGTCAAAAGCATTAAATTTGATTGTTTGTCCTTTTAGGTATAAAAGTCAAATATAGGCTAGGATCTCTTTCTTACTCTCTCTAGTATTCAAAGTAAAGCATCAGAATTAGTTTAGTGGTGATTAAACACAGCTAACATAGACATTAGATCACAGCTTTTGAAGTGTGGCTGAAATATGAAAGTTTATGCTATAGAGTGATAATAAAGCAATTGTTCAAACCAGAAAGCATTATTTAATAATTATTTTACTTTATCATAACAGGAAATACATTAGAGATTACACTTTGTTATCTAAATTGTATTAAAAGATATTCCATAAGTAATGTTGATTCTGAGAACAGCTAATTTACTGTCCTGGTAAGGAATGGTAAATGTATTTTTCCATTGAAAAAATTAAATAAAATATTAATTTCTGTATGCAATTTCAAATTTCTGACAGTCTACTGATTATAATTGCATTTGCAGAGAGGAGTGCAGTCAAAATGAGCTTTTTTTTCACATTTTTATGTGGAACAGTTTCCTTTGCATAAACACTTGATCAACTCTATGCAAAGTCTTGACACCTCAGGGATTTTTCCATTTTCTTTGGTATATATTCAGATCCTGGTCAGTGGCGAGTGTTGTTTGGTCAGTTATACTTTCCTATAAACTTGCACCAGATACCTTTAAGGTTATGTATATATACACATATATGTATATATTTCTCAATATGTAGAATTCTGATAAGTACATGGTGGCCCATCACTCATTGACTGTCATAAATAAAGCATAAGGGGATTGCTGCTCATCCCTGCCACTCCTTTGATTGAATAAATCAGGAGGAGTCTCCTTTTCAAAATAGGATTTTGTAGCCACCCATTGTACTTTCTCCACCTTTTACCCTTCCCTTCCTCAAGTGGAGTTTAAGAATCTTTGCCATTTCCCAGTTCCTAGCTGCTGGGGTGGTGGACTATGGAGGCTTCCTCATGAACAAAGTACACACATCATAACATTACGTATCACTCCGCTCATTTAAAAAGATGGGAAGGCTTGGAACCCTCCTTCTTTCTACTCCCTGGAACTTTAATTTCAGGTGTGCTGATGTTGGTGGGAGGTGCACCAGCCAGTGTTGGATCTTCCTTGTAATACTGGGTTTATTGTAGATAGCACCCTGTTCCTATGGTTGGGGCTGCTAGATACCCCTTCTCAGTAATACCAGTTGTGGGACATTGACCAGGCATTCCACATCTTCCTTGTAATGCCAAGTGTACAATGTTTCTTCCCTGTTGTAATAGTTGAATTAGAATCCTTCATTTCCTGCTCGTAATACCGGGAACAGGATAATTCCTTGTTATTACGGTTAAGTTGAGGTTTAGACACGACCCCATAAATCCGAGTTTGGTTTGTTGTACTTCCTGGCTCTTACAGTTGATTTGGAAATTTTTTCATTGGATGCTGTTTACTTACGGTAAAGATTGGTGTATATATATTACTAACAGTCCATTTGCCCTGGCTACCATACAATGCATATACTGGTTTTGATCTTATATGAGGTCTTCTGCCTCATAATACCAAGAACAGGATGTAGAAACTTGTCTCTACAGTTGGAGTTGAGTAGATACCTAGCAGTGTCTAGATGAATGCCTCCGTCTTCATAATTCTCAGACTTGGCTGTTGGCTTTCCATTGTTTCTGGGTGGGTTTGGAGTTGCCTATCAGTGTCAGTTTGTTCTTTATGCTACTTGTGACTCTAATCCTACTAGAGTTGGTTTGTTTCTGGTCACATTTATACTGTTATGGACGGAGTGGGACTCATGTTGATTATTTACACCTGATACATTGTTTTCTAAGGTCATTCTTTTACTAGCTCCAAGCCTATATGCCACCCATTTCACGACACTACACTTCTTTGAGGGCGAAGGGCATACCTGTACCAGACGTGGTGCAGTCCCCCACACGTGTACTTCCATTCAATTACAGAGCACACCCGTTCAGTTCTCAATGGATGCTTTCTGCATTGGGTCTCTTGTTTTATCTTACACCTGTATCCCTCCACCTAGTCATTCTGGGATTCTAACTATTGTATGAGGGGAGGTATGTATGGTATCGGAAGTTATCATTTTCTTGTACTGAAAATAGATTTTTGATAGATACCTCCACTCCTCACACATTTCCCACCATTCCTCCCCACTTCCAGTGTTCTTCTGTTTCTTGTGGGCCTAATCTCGAAAGTAAGGTTCATGCAAAACAGCACAGATGGAGCCAACTACTCTAAGAGAGTGTGTTGTGCTTTTCAGAATTTTACAGTAGGTGTCTGTGAGTTGTTGGCAATAAATATCAACAATAAATGGACAACACTCAGTTCACTTGTTTTAAAATAATATATTAAAAACAAATCAAACGTATGTGCAAAACTTCAATACACTAATGTTTATCACAGTTATATCTAAAGCTTTAGATAATTCTCTTTTCTTGTCAAAGGACTGGTTCAGTTATTTTAGAACCCAACTAACTAGGCAAATTATTATTCTCTATCTCACTATTCAGTTTATCTCCAGAACTTTAAATAATTGTCTTCTTTTCATCAAAGTCCACACCGGCGGGTTCAGTTACTTTAGAACAGCCTTTGACGAGACAAATTATTTCTCCTTGTCTCTGTTAACTGTGGAACTCACTTTCAATATTGTCCATTATGGCTAAACTGACAGTCATGCAGTTTAACTTCACATCCACTAATGTAATGTTTCTGACATCACTTCTTTTGTTGGTTAACACAGTTGTATTAAGAGTTTTAAATAATTTTTTTTCTCTTTTAATCAAAAGTTCACACAGGCTGGTTCAATTAATTTAGAACCCAATTGACAATACGGCTGTGGGACACACTATGGAAATCACCCGTTACGGCTAATCACTTGCACGCCGGCTAACTTCACATTTTCTTTCACTAACTTTTTTCTATCTCTTTTTTTACTTAACTTGCTGTATCTGCACATGTTTATAACATACTACAGAAAAATTTAGAATTATTTAGCCGTCTAGTAGAAACAATATTGCACATAACCAGAAAAACTTGGAAGCTTCAAGAAAAATGACATCAACAATATTACTAAAGCTTAGTACAACAGTCAAACTGCATACACAATGTATGACTTGTGCAGAGTTACATAACAAACATGGCAACTATTACTTTTAAAATAATCAATTTTTAACACTTGTTATAAAACTAAATAATCATTAAGTATTAGATCACTAAATAAACTAAATAATAACTTACACTAAACAGTCTTGTATATCTGACATTGCTCCTTTTGTTGGAGGGTTGTCACATTATCTATGCTTGCTAAATGAGCAGCTTGAACTTGTGGGGCATATAGGCTAGCATGTCAAGTAAGAAAATTTCTTTTCAATGCAATAGAGGGCAGTGGAAGATCAAGAAAAGCTGTTGTGTGAGTTGAGGTAAGTATCTATTGGAAATTATTTTCAATCAAGAAAAGCTGTTGTGTGAGTTGAGGTAAGTATCTATTGGAAATTATTTTCAATGTAAGAAAATAATTTGAATAATGAGTATATATATATATACTTTTATAAATACAAGGAAAAATCTGTGAGTATATTTTTATACATTTCATTTGAGCATAATTGTTTACATATTCACAGTTTTTAATATGCATGACATAATTGAATCTGACAATAGATCCATTTTATGTTGCTTTGAGTTATAAATCATTTCAATGCATTTTTATAATATTTATATAAACATTAATGGCACATCTTTTTTGGAAGGAAGGTATTTTTCTCTAAGACCAGGAGTAGCCTTAGGCAAGTGTGAGCAGTGCAGCCACATCAGGCTCTCGGCCTGCAATTGAACAAGGAATTTTTTATTTAAATTTTATTTTTCCATATTTGGCCTTTAAACTATTTTATTCTATAATGTTGATTAATAGTTACCATTGGTATTGTGTAAAGAATTAAGTTAACACTTTTACATGGTTTTATGGTAATGTACCACATCGCTCACGTGTGAGTGACACACAATATTTTGTTAAATCCATGTGATGCAAATGTGATTCACTGTACTTTAGATTTGTAAAGGGCTATTTGAGTCTGGTTCGTAAGGCTTATTCTTAAGCTTTTGTTATGGTTTTAAAATAATGTTTAGGCAGAAAAAACTTACTTGTATACAAAAGTATTATACAAAAATACAAAAATTTTTGGGTTATTTATTACAAAAATAAAATATACCTCTTGTTAGAACAAAAACAATTTCCATTATGTTTATAAAAAGAAACTAATGATTTATGAGAAATATATTTTTTGTTTCAATTATTTAGTTTGTATGATGTTCTTTAAAAAGATAGAGGAATTGGGGCACTGAATGCAATATGTATTCACAAGTTTGGTTTTCTTTCTTGTTACATCTCTTCCTTC